GAGCCACGTAACATCGTGAGCACAGTCCTGCCTTCCCCCTCCTGCTGCCTGCCCTGCATCACCCCACGTCCCTCAGGGTTTGCGTGCATTTCCCAGCTCCGTGGAGAAACACGTAGGGTGGGTGGGTGCCTCATTTCCCCCGAGGCAGCTGGGGCCTGGTGCATGCCACCAGCGAGGGCTCGCTGAGAGCATCCTGTAGGGGCACCCGGGGCTGCGTGGGGGACCCGGAGGTTGTGTCTGGGCAGCCTGGTTGGTGCTGGGTCCCAGCTCTGCTGCTGCTCAGATCCTGCCAGGCCATGGGGGCAGGGACCGGGGGTCCCGGTAACCGCAGGCAGAGCCGGGGCGCAGGGCTCTGCCGTGTATCACCCCACCAGCAGCCACCCTGGAAGGGGCTTTGCAGCCTCTTGCTTTTTTGGATGCTGCACGACGCGGGTTGTGCTGCAGAGAGCCCCCAGCTGTTTGCCTGATAATTTATGGGGGCAGGTGTAAAGCTGAGAAATGTTGATTTTTCCCTCGCCAACGTGCTGTGCTCTCTGCCGGGCGGGAGCTGGCGTGCCGGCCAGGGGCAGGGCGCAGCAGGGTGCAGTGTGCGGGCTGCTGCGCTGAGCTCCAGGCTGACGTGGAGGGAAGGATGGCTGATGTTTACTGTCAGAGCTGTGCTGTTAATGCACCTAAAGAAACCCCTGTGTGTGACACATGGGTGTCCCTTACCCATCCTTTGACCTGTTGCACCCCAGCATGGGCTCGGGGTGAGCTGTGTTTGCTGGGACATGCCTGGGCGCCCCGGGCAATTTCCTTTAGAAATCCCCTCAGGTTTTATTTTTTCCCTAGCAAATTCTAGCATAATTCCCTCTTCTGTCTGTTGAGTGCTCAGAGTTAATTGAAAGCTGCTGCTTTTGTCCTGTAATCTCGGAGGAAGTGGTGCTTGTTGCTCCTGGACAGTAATCCCCGTCTTTGCACAGGGGATCGCAGGCTCTCCTGTGGGCGCACCCGCTGCCAGAGCGGCCCTGAGCTCTGCACAAAGGCGTCGATGCAAAACATAGAGGCAGCTTCCACCCTTTCTCCTCCTTTGCATCTTGCGTTGAGGTTTGGGGGTGCGGGTGGAGGGTGCAAATGCAGGCAGGGCTGTGCTCCCCGGAGGGCTGCCTGTCCCCCATGGGCAGGCAGCTGCTGCTGCTTGGCTGTGCCCCAGAGCCTGGGGCTGCCAAAGCTGAGGGTGTATGTGCTGTCAGCAGCACAACAGCCAGCCATGTCGTTATTTGCATGATCCTGTCTTGTATCCGTTGCTGCTTTCTGCTTCTAAAAGATAGTGGATCCTGCTGAGGAGCTGCGAGGGTTGCACAGCGCAAGTCCCCTGGTCTGGTCTGAGCTTGCTGCATTCTTGCAGGCACCTAAGCCAGCATGTAACTCCCTTTGGGCAGGAGATCCGAGGGTTTAACTCTTCTGCTGTAACCCTTGACGGGTCTGATCTGCATTTTGAGGTGTGCCCTGCCATCTCCACTGGTCCCCCTCCTGCCATGCCACTGTTCAGGGCGATCACCCTAAAGCTCAGCTCCTTCCAGGTCTTGCCCTTCTTGGAGGAGCTGATGTCCTGCAAGCGGGCGTGCGGACACGGCTGTAGCTGTTACCTTCTCCTGCTCTGAAAATGCATGTTTTTTTTCTGAACCGGAACCAGGCAGTTTGCATCCCACCTTGCCACTTCTTAGTTTCCTTAATAATCTCCCCAGGTAGAGACAGTTTCTCTGAGGTTTGCTCAGAGAAGGTTGAAGGTGTATGTTGTCTCTTGGGTTCCTCCGTTGAGTGTAACCTGGCTCCTGCAAACACAAGTGGGGTATTTGCTTCTGCACACCATCATCCCTTGGACATTGAAACCAGTCTCCCTGGACTGCAGATCCCCAACATCTTTTCCAAGACAGGTGACTTCTGGCCTAAAAAAACCATGTAACCTTTGCTTCTGCAGAGATGGAGTGAGCACAGATGCAGTGGTGGATAATCCTGGAGGATGGAGGGGGTGAGCAGCCCACGGGTGCTGGGAGGCTGTGACTCCACGTAGGGGTAGGCGCCTTTTTGTTTATGGGACAAGTGGCTGAGCCTGGCAGCCCCCATGGGCAGTTGTGTTGGAAAGAAGTAATTTATCTCGTCCTCAGCGTTGCCCACCTCGTCTCCGTTCCACACTTTATTTAGCATCGCTTATGGTGCTTCATGCTTGCAATGCCACCCCTGAATTCGGGATGTTTCTAGGAAACTCCTCCCCACTCCTGGCTCTGCTCTCACCTTTATCCAAATGGATTTTTTGCTTTGATTTTGCTAAGTTGGGCACCATCTCCAGAAAACATGCAGATGCAAAGGGCAAGGCTCAGTGGCTGTCATGGACCCCCGAAGCCATCAGGGGACCTCTGTGCACCCCATGCGCTGCCTCCAGGAGCCGCGGGGCGCTTCTG